ATCTGAGCACAGTGTGTGATGTTGTTGAGATCTCTTTTAAAGCTTTAAAGGAGACCATTGTGAGAGTGTTAGAGTTTTTGTCTCAGGAGACAAGTTTGAGAAGCAGGAGACTCAAGCAAAAATCTCAATTCGATCTTAAAGAAACCTCATTTCTGTCTAGGATAAATATTTGAGATGTTAAAGAGATCTCACTTTTGATTTTTCTTTCGTATGGGTATATATATATATATATAAATATACACGGTGAAACAGACATGCAAGCTTGTCGAACTCGAGCAAATATCCCATTCTCACAGACATCACTGGAAAGTTTGTAGTTCGGTCGGATATTCCAAAAGAAAAGTAAGTAAAACAATACACAAGTTACTAAAGTTACTTGACTTCTGTTGCATGATCTTGATTGCGGTTCACTCCATTAGCACATGCATCATTTGGATTAAAACTAAATTGTAAATATAAAACAAAGAAAAATTATAGGGCCATTCACTATAAACAACATTTATTTTAAACGTCAAGCATACAATTAAAGCGAAAGTGAAACTAGCAGTCTGTGTGAAATGTCTGTCTCTCATTCTGCACCAATACAAATGTGTGCGTGCGTTGGGCATGTTTTGCTTGCTTGACGTTAATTGCATTATATAAGTCACTTTGGAATATAATTGCAGCACATTTCAGTTGATAAAAAAACATGACATATTTCAGAAAAAATTTTCATAGCTGTTACAAAATTTACTGAGCCACTGCAGTGGAGCAGCTCTAATGTGCACTGTGCTATTATATTAAACATGAAACAGCAATAAACACAGCAATAAAATGACCAATGAAAGTAACAAAAGCTTGTACAATACATTTTAACGGGCATGATTAAGTGTGAAAATAACTGAAGGAAATATCTATTTGCTAAATGAAGCCAGCTAACATGATTCATATTTTTTTGGTTTCTGAATCCAATATTTTTTAAAATAGCAAATGCAGTGAAAGTACAGGTAAGTACCCAAAATAAAAGTACTGGTATCGGACTCGTTCTAGTGCATCCCGAATTTGCATGATTAAAAAAAAACTGTAAAATGTTGCTTTTTTTTAGGACATGGCATCAAGTCAAAAAATATGAGTTAATACTACAAATG